AACAGTTACTCCATGTGTCTGACAATATGAGGCGTATTATGTTTCTATACGGTCTCCAACATTATACTGTGACCAATACTATTTTTATAATATGTTATCAGCAACTAAAAAACTAACGTTGTATGAATATATTTTAAAATATAAATCAAGTGATACTACATGCATGAGACTAACATTCATATTTTTAGTTTAATTATTAGTCAAAAAAATAAATTTTGACTTTGCAGAAAACAAGAAATACACCTTATATTTCGAAACAGGTGGAGTATAAAATTGAACATCATATGAATGCAATTTCAAATACTATTGGCTCCTTTGGAACAAAATATTCCTTGAGGAATTTTAGAAGAAAAAAAAAATCAATTCTATAAAAAACTTTCATACGTGGTCATTTGGATAAAAGGAAAGTATCCTATGAAATTCCTTTAGATTGGCTCGAGACGTAGAGATTTTGAAGGAATTCTAACGTGAACTTCAACCTATTGGAAAAGATCATTTGTGTCCATCTATCTTCTAGTTACTGTACATTTTTCTATGCTCCATCTAAACAATAATTCGTGAGAATTTTCTCTGTTTTTTTTTCAATCCACAAGACTTAAGGTACTAGAATACTTCAATTCTGTATTTTTTTAAGTATATTGAGAATACTGCGTTTCAAAGGAACCCTAATTAATGATATCATATTCATGATACTCAACATATATAGTATTGTTACTTTAGTTATTAGTTAAAATTTACAATAATTTTTAGAAATATGGTCCTTATATTTTACAACAAAGGGAATACCCATTATTTTGCTTATGTGGATATACGAAAAGGGAGAAGAGAGACAAATAAGAGATGTCTCGACCACAAGATATACTAGAAAAAAGAGGTAGAGATGAATGGTATTACATGATATATCGGTCTCTTTTTTCGCTTATGCTTATATTTATCAGCCAAAATTTGAATTTTCAACCTTAAATTTGGAGCTGATTTTGAGGTTTTTCAGCAAAGTTTATTTTTTCAGCCTTTACTTTTAGATCGCTAAGAACACATATATAAAAGTTTTATTCACAGATTACTTTTCATTTATAAATATGTCATTTCGCTTATTTCACGAATAAGCGAAACGATGGCTCCCTATTGTTCTTCTTGCCTATGCCCTTCGTGTACAGGGAAAATTTGAGCAATATCTTAATGATGTGAATAGCTAGAGCCAGTACATTGTTTCATGGTCGAACGTGCCTAGCAAGGTACGCACGTATACATTGTTTCATTAATCGATAGGGTTGTAAATGATAAAGCAACAGAGACACACATGTATACTTTCAAAACCTTTTCTTTTTCATCGAATATGCCTTTCTCCCTTTTGGCAAAGCAAAATTGTAATATGCAAAAGGCATAAATATATGTCCCCGTTAGCCCTGAGCCCGGCATGCTGCTTTCATGTGCGAGACCACAAACCCACGACACCACGAGGCACGAGCTACTGTAGAAAACCATGAGAAAAATTACCATCGATCCCGACGAATAATCACCCGGCTCACTGCTCACCAGTCACCACGGCACCACGCACGATATATCGTTACTCCAATTGTACACCTAGCAAGACTGCAATCGGTATGGTCGTACAGTGCTCCGTTGGGTGTTCCAACGAAACTGCTCGTACGGCACAATTAAAATTTACTCCACGAATGGAACTGCACCACATGGCAATGAGAGAGTGGGAGAAACACCCACTCCGAGGCGATTTTCTATTTACACGGACAGACACATCCTACATAAAAGCGTTTAGTGCACACTAAAATTAAAAGTTTAGTTGAAATTAAAACGATATGACGGAAAAGTTGGAAGTTTATGTGTAGAAAAGTTTTGATGCGATGGAAAAGTTGGAAATTTGAAAAAAAACTTTAAAACTAAACACGGTGATACTAGTGTCCTGCATCCAACTGCACACAGGTCCAAGCTTGGATGCTTGGCTTGGAAAAAGTACACCGGAGGTCCCTGAACTTGTCACCGAGATAAAAAAACGTCCTTGAACCGTAACACTACACACCCGAGGTCCCCTAACTTTACAAAACCGGACACCTAAGGTCCCTCGGCGGTTTTCAACTCGGTTTTGTCCGACGTGGCGGCTGAGTCAGCGTGGGACCCACGTGGGCCCCACATGTCATCCGGCCACGTCAGCCTCATCCCTCTCCCCCCTCTTCTCTCTCTTCCTCCTCCTCTCTCTCTCACTCTTGTCTCTGTTAGCGGGGGAGCAAGGCGGCAGCGGCGGGAAGCAAGGCGGCGGCCTCCCCCGCCCGCCCTCTTCGCTCTGGGCTAAGGCCGCCGTGAGTCAAATCGGCGGAAACCCAAATCAAAGGCGGCGGCGACGCGTCGAGGATGAGCTCGTGGTGGCAATGGCCGAGGACGTCGAGGCGGGCGGTGTTGTGCGCCTGGTCGCGGCGGAGCGGGCGGCGGAAGACCGCGGCGGGGTGGCCGCGGAGGGAGCAGCGGAACGACAAGGAAGAACTCGCCGCGGCGGCGGCGGCGAGGCGGTAGGAGGAGGAGAAGTTGGCGGTGGCGGCGGCGAGCTCGTGGAAGGCGCGCGAGAAGGAGAAGGCATCGGGATCGGCGACAGCGGGGAGGCGCGCGAGGAAGTGAGCGTAGATGGCGGCGGCGGTGGAGGAATTGGAAGGCGGCGATCACCAGAAGAGCAGCGGCGAGGCGGGAGCAAGCTGGGGAGAAGAACAGCGGCGGCCGGGGGAGAGTAGGAGGCGCGCGGCGGCCGGCAGGGGGAAAGCGGATGGGGAGTGGTGGCGCTCGGCTGGCAGGGGAGATGCCGCCTCCTGTTCCCGCATCACCGCGCCGCCATGTCCTCCTCCCACGGGCCGCCGCCGCGGATAGGGAGTGGCGGCGCTCGGCCTCGTCGTCGGTGGCGCCTCCGGGTAGGGATGGGGCCGCCGCCGCCGCCATGCTCCCTGTCATGGATAGGGCCGCCTCTCCTGCCTCGCCCCGCCGAGCTCCGGGCTGGCCACCGCCCTTCACCGCCAGTGTCCTCCTCCTCCTTCGCCGCCGCATCGACGGCGTGCCCCGCTGCTCCCTCCCGGCCGCTTCCGCGGCATCGTCCCTACGAGTGCAAGCAGAGAGCGAGAGGAAGGAAAGAGAAACAGAGAAAGAGAAAGGGGGAAGAGAGAGGCTGACGTGGCCGGCTGACATATGGGGCCCACGTGGGTCCCAACTGACTCAGCCGCCACGTCGGACAAAACCGGGTTGAAAACCGCCGAGGGACCTCCGGTGTCCGGTTTTGTAAAGTTAGGGGACCTCGGGTGTCTGGTATTACGGTTCAAGGACGTTTTCGTATCTCGGTGACAAGTTCATGGACCTCTGGTGTACTTTTCCGCTTGGCTTGGGTGATCCGGTTACCGGCTGGAATTCATTATTCCCTAGACGAGCCGAACTTTCTCAGCAAGGAATTTCCCAGCTGCAACGCAAATGAAAAGATTTCTGTGCATTCGTTCATCCCGATTACTCACGTACCAAAAATTGAGGAAGTCTTGTTTCAAGAAAAAACAATTTGAGATGCCGATGATCCATAGAAGGAAGTTCAGTTAACTGGAGACTCATCTTTCTTTTCTCCGCGTGCAAAAAAACACGAAGAAACACCAGTTCAACATGGTCCCAGGCTCCCAGCCCATCGTTCCATTTGAGTTTTTCTTCTTGGGCTTCCCGGAGAGGTCTGAAATCCTCGTGGGCTTCCTCAAATTAGGCCTAGAGAATCACACGCTCGTCTCAACTATCTCTACTCAGGGTTTACGATTCCGAGATGGCCTTCCGTTTCAGGCTCTATCGGAATAACGGTTTTCATAAAATCAAGTGGAAAGCCGATAGATTCCGAACAAATTTTATAAACTAATTTTTTTTGTGGGGTTATAAACTAAAATTTGAATATAAATTCCCTGAGTTTACCAATAAGTTCGTGAAAAACTGGTCGGCCTTAACAAAATTCCGAGCGAAATCATCGAAATGTCAATCGGTAACTTGAAAAGAGGTAAACTGAAAGTGTTTTCCTTTTTTTAATTTGTTATTCTTTTCTTTCCTACTGTAAATTTTAGTAAATACACGAAATACATTATTTTTTTTGAAAATTTATATCCCAATAGATTCTATGAGTATCATACTATTTATAATATTTTATTTATTTATTTTCCTTTTTTATCAATTCAAATTTGAATTTGGATGAAACTCGTCGAAATATCATACGGGTTCTATTTTCGAGCCTCGTTGAAACCTCGAAATTTCGTGGAATTCAACCAGTTTTCGTCGGAATTATGAACCCCGTCTCTACTACTCCCTCCATCTCAATTTGATCATATATTTACGAACAACATCAACATCAAGACTAGAAAACATCATTACTTCTGAAAATACACCTTATCGATTTAAGGTGTTGTATTATACATGCAAATGGGCATGCAAATATGCAATTGAATACATACGAGGCATGCAGCAATCGGGGTAGTTAAAGATTGGGGCGATCTGCTCGCACCAGAGAATTTTGGACGGCGTGGACGCACGCGCGTCTATCCACGTCCCCCGCGCGTTGGAAGGCTGGTGTTTTTCGGGCGCTCTCCTTACTCGTCCGCAGCGTCGTCCGATCAGCATCTCGCGACCAGAGAGCGCTGGAGCTGGTAAGTTTGCAAAAAAAAAAAAACCCTCCCTTACCTTAATAATCTTTCTTAAGTCCCTCAATGTAAGTTCGTTGTCTTATGTATTCTTATGTAAAGGCCCTCGGGCGCTCTCCTTACTCGTCCGCAGCGCCGTCCGATCAGCATCTCGCGACCAGAGAGCGCTGGAGCTGGTAAGTTTGCAAAAAAAAACCCTCCCTTACCTTGATAATCTTTCTTAAGTTCCTCAATGTAAGTTCGTTGTCTTATGTATTATTATGTAAAGGCCCTCAAGATATATCTTACGTGAAAGAGACAACATTTCAAGTATAGGACAGCGCTCTGAAAAAGAGAAAATAAGGGAGTTTTCTGAAAAAAAAAAAGAACACCCAATCCCCCGAAACCCTAGCCACTACTGTTCCCCAATCCCTTCTCTTCCTTTCCCTTGTCCTTGCGCCGCCGCCGCTTTTTCTTCCCTCCCCCGCTTCTCCTCGCCGGCGACGACGACTTGCCCCTCGAGCTCTCCCCTATCCTGCCCATCTCCTGGCGCTCCCTCCCTCCCTTCGCTTGCATCCTCACGCCATCGTCGGCCCCGCCTTCCCCTTCTCATCTGTTCCCAGCGATGGCATGGGGATCAATCTGCTGACCCAGGCCCTTCTCTTCTAGCAGGGGGAGTGGACCATGCGGAGCTAGCTTTGGGGGCACTGTGATAGAGATCGATGGTGTGGCTGTGTGGGGATCGATCTGTTGGCCCATCGCCTGATTTTGGGTAGGTGCACTCAAGCTCAACATGAAGTTCTCAATCCAGTGCGTTGCGCTCGAGGTCGGCATAGCCGCCGCCGCCGCCTCTCTCCCTCCTAGCTCTCCCTTACGTACGACTCTTGGGCTCCCTTCCTCCCCTTGCATTCTCACGCTACCGTTGACTCATCTATCTTCTTCTCTGGGTGATGATGCATCAGGAGAAGGTGAGGGACTGAGTGGAGACCAGAGACAGCGCAACCACTCGATCCGGTGGGATGGAGCCTGACCTCGACTTTGGTTCAAGTTGGTGGCGTGCGGCTCTGCAATTTGAATTGCGTTCGATGTTCTACCTCCAGCGTTGATGGTAATCCCAGGCACCTTGAGGGCTTGAGGTCGATATGGCACAATTTTGCTACTGGGGAAGAAGATGTGTTGTTGCAATGGCCAAATAATCACCTCCTTTATGCTCGATCCACTCATGATCTTCCTCCCATTCTCTGTCTGCGCCTGCAGTGCTGCTTTTTCCATGAGAGTACAGCCTCTTCATTCTTCTCAGCGACTTGCTCTGGTCAGCACCTGGTACTAATTGTTTGCCACCATGTCAGATTGCTAGCATCTAAAGATGCAGTTTTGCATCCATATTGCAATTACAAGGGATTTCATACACAAGTACTGCTTTGCTGAAGGATTCTGCGTTTCAGTGCAGTAGTGGGATGAATCAGTGGAAAGTGAATTAATTGTTGTTTACTCTTTTACTTATTACACAGTTATTTTGTGAGTTTACATGATGCTTCTTTGAAATGAAAAATCTCCAAGAATCTGACAAAGCTAGAAACTCAGGTAAGTTTGACAAATGTCACTATATTGTTTTGATTTTGCACATGATTGTGTGATGAAGTTCGCTTTGTCAGTTAATTTGTACCCACCGAAGGTTCCATATCAGATCCCACATGTCTGAATGCTCATTTCTACTATAACCTTCCATTCCCAAATTCTTTGTTTCTTTACATACATGAGCACTCCTTAATTTGTTGACAAATCAAGTTTGCTTCATAAATGTAATATTGGTATCGGCAAGTAACAACAAATCTGAAACTATTATTTGCTTTGGAGGTAAACATGTTCTATACATATAATTGGGTTGCGTGCTTTTTTTTATAGGGCATTGTTAGCAACTTACCATATAACAGGACTGTCAGATTTTTTATGTGTTGCTTGTTCTTCGCTTTGTACATGTCCATTTTGGTAAATGGTGTACGATTTTTTTTCTGGACTTATGTTCTTCAAGCATTGTAGAGTTGCAGTCTTATTAGTCATCTACTACTGTAGCCTTATCTATAATGTGCATTTTGGAAGTGACGTTTCAGATTTTGGTATTAACTATAAAGACTGAGAACCCATGCCACATACTTTGTAGAACTCCCATGTGTATTGGAGTAATGTGATTAGTTATCCAAAACATTATTGTTCATCAGAAATGATTTCAGTAATGTATTACTTGGGCATATGACTTTTCTAAAGAGTGTCTTATCTAACCAACTAGCTTTTCTGTTGCCTCATAAAAAACATTTAGTTAATCAGAGACTATTTTAGGGGGGAGCTGTCCTACAAATGAATTTCTGCTTCATTAACATAAGCAGATGTTTCTTGATATCTATGCTTTTAGGTGCATGGTCTGCAACATATAATATATCATTGCCACATAATGGTACTTAATTAGCTCTTTTTTACAAAACCGAATGATTAGGTCCATTTGTATATAGACTTATATATATATATATATATATATATATATATATATATATATATTTTGTTGCTTGCTCTTTTAAGTAGGATAAGTTAACATGGATTTTGGACTAACTTATTAGGTGATTTTATCTTGCAGAATTCAAGCTCTATTTTTGATCCTCACGTGATGGCAGGGTTCGAGTTGTATAGCGGTTTCTGTTAGAATGAATACATTAAGAACATGTTTACTAAGATAAATCCATTGTTAAAGTTGTAACATTTCTTACCGACAATATGTAATTTAAAGTGATTATAGAATCTATCGATTGTGCTTATGGCTATCTGTGTACTTGATCTAAGTCTAAATGGGATATTAAAAAAAAATGATGATTTGATATAATTTTTTTCAATATTTGAATGACAGTGAAGTTATATACAATTACAGATATGATGACATGCTTTAAATAATCCCAGTAGAACTTTGCAAAGCCTACTTGCCCGTTGTAATGTGATTTTCGTTGTCCATAATACTGGTCTCAGCAGTTCTCGCATAGTCCTATTATTTGCTCTGATTTGAGTACTATTCAATGTTTTTGTAAATGCTCCTAAGCTACATAGCTCTTAACGAACATTAGGGCGCTGCGAAGCGCGCCTAAAGTCCTAGTGCCATTTACTCCTGCACAGATAAAAGAACAAACATGCAACGATGACATTAACTTTGCACAAATACTTTTACGCGAATAAACGAATAGATAACACTTAGATAATGATCAATTTAGGAAAACCTCAAAAATAATCTAGGGATGATCAATTTGGGATGGAAGGACCGAGGGAGTACCTTAAAAGAGAAGTCATCCTCCTTTCCACCGCTCCCCTCGCGTGCATCGTATGTCGAAGTAAAGTAGTGAGAGAAAAAGGAGAAAATCACAGGAAACCAAAATTAGTGGTTGCACATTGAAAAAAAACCACAATGCTCTGAAAAAAAAAAGAGAGAGAAAATACGCTAGAGTAAAACTAAAAAGACAGTAGTTGATTAAAAAGGTATTGCTTTATAATGTATGGGCTTGTTTCAATGCAAGGTATATTATAATACAAATCAGAATTGTTAACCTTCATTCGATATAAATTTAAGTAAGATTTTCATCAAATTTTGGACCGTCAAAATCACTTTGAGATTTGTGACGGCATCCCTCTCCTCCAGCTCTAGTGCGGCTAGGACGGGCCCAACTAATTAGGGTTCAAGGTTACAGTCATGGTAAAGGAGGGGTTGGGCTGGGAAAAATGAAGGGTTTTTCCTGAGCTTAAAATGATGACTGTGAGTAATGAAGGGCGTGTCTTAGGTGAGGAGGGAGAAGAGAGCAGAGGGACGGTCAGTAGGAATGCAAGTGGGACGGGCGAGCGGGTTTTTTTAGCATGTTTATTTCACTTCTAGTTTATTTTTTCTTCTAAATTTTATACTATCATATGAAAAATAAACTAACAAACAGGTTTGTATGCGGGTAGTGGGACTATCCACTTGCATCTCTAACGGTTAGTGGGTCTCGCCGGCATTAGCGAGGTTGAGAAGCGGCGCGTGGGGGTGGTGCGGGAAGGATGGTGTGCTGGCGAACTTGGTCTGCTCGAGCAAGTTACGGTGGAGAAGAAGAAAGAGGGAGATGGTTTAATGTTTACACACGAATCTAAATGTTCTTCTAACCGTCAAAAAATAACTGAAATCAAAATGGGCTTTTTTTTTTCAAGTTTTACGTAGGCTCTCCTAATAAAAATCGTGTGCTAATCAAACACTGAAAACACGAGGCACTGCAAGATGCAAACTATGCAAGTGCAATCACGCACGTATGTCCAATGGATTATGGATACATACAGGTCAGGAATCATGATAGGTGGGAGGCTGCGGTTGGATGCGTACAGATCAGTCGGCTAAAGGACGAAAGATTTGCTAATGGGACAGTGTCAAGCAAAGCAGCGGTGCTCCACACGTAAGCACCCTGGCCACCTGATAGGACGTCTGAACGGCCGCCTCGTGGGTACCCGTTGGCTGGGGAGTCCTAAACTCAAAACTGTTGTTATGGTAAGGATAAGGGGATAACGAGTCTAGAACACTGCAATCCAGATATCACAAATGTTCAGAAACAGTAAACACAGAGGAGGCTGTCTGGTCTGTGTGGTGGCTGCCTACCTTTATGCTCATCTGATTATAGATTCTTTTTTGTTTCTCAAGTTGTTAGTCCTAGGCCTACAAGGCCACAAGGGCCATCTAACCAAAGAGGCTGCGTTTGATTGGCTCCAGGGATGATCACCTGCCACTGATGAGTAACAAATCTTCGATGGAACCTGGGTATGTTCTGTCAGTTCAGGGGCAGTTTCAGTAGTTCCCATGCTGCATTCCAACAAAGATATCCATGCATACATACCCCAAATACTACTATCAAAACAAACCCCACATGGTAATACCACCAATTCTCCCGCGGTCCACACAATGCAACGCAACACCAAAAGGACAAAACTCCAGTTCCGCAGCGTTGCCAAACTCCGGAAAAAATAAAGGCCCATGAGCCGAAACACCGGCACGCACGTGAACCCGAAACGGAACGCAGCCGATGCGGCAAGGCCCACGCGACGCTAGCTGCAGCGACAAAGCGGTGGTGGCGCACCGCTGCCGGTGGCACGTCCGCATCGGACGCCGACGTGCGTGCGCGCCCCAAGCCGCGGGATCTCGCGGTCTCGTGCTCACCTCACCGATCGAGCCGTGCCGAGGCGCACGCGACCGCGACGCCACCACGTCGCCCGTCTCGCCTCGCCGTCGTCTCGTCCAGATCGCCTCGGCGCGCGTTGCCGTCTCGCGGTCTCGCGGGGCGCGGGTGATTCGTGCGTACCAGCAGCTATCGGCCGCGTCTTTTCGCACCGATCTGGCTACACGGCTGGGGCGGGATGGACTACGACGTGTGCGAAAAAGCGAGCTGTTGCATTATCTAATCTGTGATTTTCCATCACCACACGGTGACAAATGGAGGCAAGGGAGCAAAGCAAAGCTGGTGGCGACAGTGAGATGTCCCCGAGTGCAACGTAAATAAAGCAAAGCAAAGCAAAGCAGTCGTGGTGCAGACGAAACGATCATTCCATCAAAGGCCCAGACTGAACAGCTCTCTCTTCCTCCTTTTTTTTTTCTCTCTAAAATGCATTCAAATGCTTGTACATGAATTTACTTGGGACTGTTTATTAATGACGATATATACTTACTTATTTTTCACCTCTAAATGGGACGTAAGGAAATCAACAGTTACAGAGGGAGTGTATAAGAGTAGATAAAGAGGAGTACGTGTAGGATGTGTAGTATATATGTGCGTGTCTGTACGGTGCGTGCTTAATTATACAGGAGGAGAGATCGGAGAAGGTAATTAAGGAGAAGATAACGATGATCATTAGGTCACATGATGGCGCAGGCGTAGGAGGGGTCCTCCTCGCAGACGATCCTGTAGCCGCCGCAAGGGTAGGGCTGCTGCGGCGGGTAGCAGGGGATGTACTGCGGCGGCGGAGGCGCCGGCGCCGGCGCCGGCTCCGGCGCCTTCCCGCAGGAGCAGCAGTGGCAGCCGCCGTGGCCATGGTGGCAGCAGCAGTCGGACGGCCACGACGGGAACGGGTAGGGGTAGGGCCAGGGGTAAGGGACCTCGACGACCTTGGGCGGCGGCGGGCATGGCTCCTGCTTGGGAGGCGGCGGCGGCGGCGGCTCTTTCTTCGGCGGCTCGGGCTCCGGCTCGGGCGCCGGCGCCGGTGGCTCCACGATAATCACCGCCGGCGGCGGCTCGGGCTTCTCCTCCTCCTTAGGAGGCGGTGGCTGGGGCTCTTCTTTCTTGGGTGGCTCCGGCTCCGGCTCCGGCGCCGGCGGCGGAGGCGGCGGCGGGAGGTCGACGATCTCGATCTCCTTGATGATCTTGCACGCCTTGCAGCAGAGCTTGTCTGCGAGCTTGTCCGGGTCGAAGGGCCCCGACACGATCACCTTGTTGTGCTTCACGTCGAACTCGATGTCGTCGATGACGAACTCACCCTTGTCTGCGCACGCAAGAACTCTCAAAGATTCATCTTTGTTGTCACGATTAACCCAGCTCAAAAGCTGCCAGAAACACCATTTGATCCTAGAAACTGCAAACCGTGCGACGAGAGCACCTACCTCTGATCCTGGTGAGCACCCTGTCGATCTTGGCATAGCAGCGCTCGCATTCCAAGTCCACTTTGACGATGATGGTCCGCTTCATCTGCAACGCAAAGCTCCCACTGATCAGAACTCAGAATCCTACCTGAATATTCTTTTTCTTCAAAAGCAGAGCAGGGTTGAGAAACTAAACCTCTACTACAGAAGACTAAAGACGGAGAAGAATTGAGACCAAAGTATTGATCTGATTGCAACTGATTTATGACTACATAATCGACTACCAGTACCAAACTAGATACAAAAAGAAGAGAGGAACTAAGCACACGAAGGAAGAAAAAGCAAAGGACTAGTTCGAAGAGTGAAACACACTCCAAAAAATCAAAAGCTGAAATTAATCCTTGGAAGGACAGTCACCTTCCTGCAATCATCAAGAACGCCAGCTAGCACCATCAAAATTAATACCCAATCCTACCACATAAACTCATTAAGTCTTTTAACTCCGACTGATGAACAGAGTTACAGAGAGGAAGGCACACAACACACACCACTCACCTTGATTCAGTCGGCAGCCGCCTGCAATGCGAGGAGGAGGAAGAGCTGCGAACAAGCGCGCGGCGGTGGAGTGAGTGGTGATGCCGCGGGAGGTGGAGATGTGTAGATGACGATGCGGTGTGGCGTGAATATGTAGCTATACACCCACCATCTTTTTCGTGTCTCTCGGCGGCGAGAGAAGAAAGGGAGGAGGAAGTCAGGAAGAAGTACCTAGAAGATTTAAAGGGAGAAGAAAGGAAAGAAGAAAAAAAAAAAGCGGCGGCAGTAGGCAGCATTCGGCTCGCACACACAATCAACCACACGTCCGCACCCGAAAGGGAACAGGTCGCGCGCCCGTCGCGTCACGGCTGTTGTTACCTGGCGTTCTTCCCCAGGATGATCACCAGTGGCCTACAGCTACAGTGCCAGCTCCACCAAGAAAAAAAAAGTTTGCTGCACACGATGCACCGGGATAAAAAGGGTCAAAACGGTAATATCCCTTCGAAAATAATTTCTATGATTTTATCTATCAATCTAACTATTTAACGTCATATTTAAAACGTTGAGGTATTTTTAGAAAAGAAATAAGAATTATACTACCTCCGTCTCAAAATAAGTGCAGCCGTGGATATCCGTGCCCAATATTTAATTATCCGTTTTATTTGAAAAAATTGTGAAAAATTTAAAAATATTTAGTCATGCATAAAATACTATTCATGTTTTATCATCTAATAGCAATGAAAATACTAATCATAACAAAATTTTTAAATAAGACGAACGGTGAAACGTTGAACATGAATAGTGTAAAACTGCACTTATTTTATGACGGAGGGAGTATCATTTACCCAGAAAAGATGTTCAGTTGTTCGATAATTTTCTAGACAGTTTTCATCTAGTGCGCGTACTCACCTGACGTGACGGTGAGTTTGGTGTTCTCATCTCACTTTGTACATACACACGGCTGGATGAGTCACTCACCCAACCGATGAAAGTGAAACTAGCGGTGCGTAATCATGCTCAGCCTTTTTTTGTGACGTCGACCCGGGGACAAAAAATGGGTCAAGTAGGGAGAATGACAGTAAACACCTGGCAGTAATTAATGAGGTGATTATAATGTCAAACCTAATCTGCTAATCATAGTTCAGAGATTTCGGAGCAGCCTTTCAGAGTTGGGGGGTCGTTGCACGGATGGGCGAAGCAGGCAGGCTGCGGTTGGAAACCTGGACCATGCATGCCGTGCGCCCACAAGCCGCAAGTCTCGTGCACCAGCACGTTCTCTCGTGCAGTACGTATATATCCTAGTTATAGGTTGTGTTTCAGCGTAAAGTTTTAATTTTGATTGAAATTAGAGATGATATGACTGAAAAGTTATCTGTGTATGACAGGTTGATGTGATGGAAAAGGACTGAAGTTTGGATCCAAACTATGAATCTAAACACAGCCATAATGTGGCTTGTACCTGTGGATGGGTCCCAGCTGCAGCTGCCGATCCATGCGGCCAATGAGAATAATGGGATCAGCTTGCGGTTGACGAGAGTCCAATGTTCGAACACGTCATCTACACAGTAGTGTGCATGCAATTACTCTCACAGTGCTAACGAAGAACATCATGTGACCTTTTTGATACGCACAGAAAACCCTAATAATTGGTTCCATGGCCTTTTGATAGGCACAACTAACATTAAATAATTGATTAGCAGTACAGCTTTACAAGTGATGTTTCTAAAATTTTCAATGTTGTGTAGTACAATGCATTAGCCAATTTACCAATAACTTAAGTTGACAGAGATAAAACAGATGATGACATAAAGAAAAGAAGCGTTTTGGCACGTATATGCATGTTGGTATACATGCCGCACAGGCGACCCAAGCACTAAGAGCATCACCAACAGGCTACCTATATGATTCCTAAAACTAATTGAGGGATTTTAGTCTAAATCAGTTCCAACAGATCCCCTACCCTCCTACTCGAGTTTTGGAGTTCTCTTCCCCCGGTTGCTCGCTCCGTTTATATGCGGGCGCGAAAGTCGCTCCCAATCATGCAATCCCGCCTCTCTCCTTCATTCCCGCGCGTGGGAGATAGCGATCTTTCTGCGCGTGAAAGAAAAAAAAACAGAATTTTCTCTTGGTAGTTTAATAGAAGGGCCCACTTTTAAGTTTTGAGGATTGAATTTAGGCTATCTGTTAGACGGAAGAATTTTTTCACTTCTTATTTTCAGTTTAGAAAACCAAAAACAATTTTTTAGGAGAAAATTATACATAATTTGTTGGTGATGCTCTAAATTGGTTGAGTTTGAAAGCGTACATTTATCTGGGCAATGCGTAAGGTTCAATGGTTCAAGAATCATGAGCCATTTTATCTCTTTTTCACATGTTGTTATTGAGAACCATGGTCCATGGCTACCATTCAACTCACAGTTCCATTGGTCGTCTTCCCAATAACAAATGCCGTGGTGTAAGACTCGTGCGTCCAAAACCAGGACAAAAACAAACTATGGGAAATGGAATACCGTAGCACGTCACAAGCCCCATAGAAGCGTCCCGTTCGGAGAAAGGGATCCTACGCCTTTCACCCCCTTCTTTTCTCACTTTCCGCTCGCCCTTTCCTATCCGAAACCGAAAGGACCCGCAAAAAACACAGATAAAATAAGACAACAAAGCAAAAACTACAGCGAAAAACGTCGAGCCATCCGTCTTTGATCCGACGGCCAGACGACGGGCGGAATGAATCCGACGCGGGGGGCCACGTACGGACGGGACGGGATGGATCCGAAGTTGTGAACTGGCGGCGCAACGGAGCCATGAGCCAAAGCCAAAACACCGCCAACAACCGGGAGCCCATCCCCACCGCCCGGCACGGCGCACATGGCATTCTCATCGGACGACGTACTCATCGGGGCTATCCATCCCATCCCCACGGCCGCCCAGCCAGCCACCGTGCCCGGTGGTTGCGCAGAAAACGGCGGTGTCCGCGCGCGCGCGCGCTCGCAACAACCGAGCCCCCGTACGTTGCCGCAACGCGCCGAGCCCCGCCACCGTGTCGCTCGCGCTACTTGCGTTGCCCGCGGCCAATCCACCACCCCACCTCGCGATATACAGGCGATAGCCACGGCGCGCGCTTTTGCGATCGATTGGCCTGTTGCATGATAGCTGGCGACCGATCGAGTAGAGATGAGAAAATTCTCGAGCTCCCAACCGGGCGTGACCTAATCCTGTCCCGCCCGAACAGTGCTGCGATTGCCGCTCCCATCTCGCGCGGTCGCGTTACTGGTTCGCCTTTTTTTTCGCCAACCCGGCCGCGCGGTCGTTGTCGCCTCGTGGAACCTACCATTCATCGATCGGTGGCCGATGGATGGATCGGTCATTCGATCGCGCGAGGCAGACCGGGCATCTCCACGAGGCGTGCGAAAGGAAGGGAGGATGGCGGCCGGTGTCGGTGGCCGTCGTAATCGCTACCTCCTCTCTCTCCTACTACTGCTTGGTTACCGCTACAGCAAAGTGACTGAATCAAAAGATGCAAGCCATTGCGTTTACAGTAAGATTCCAAAATTTTCAGTTAAGCTTAGATGCTCGATCAACGTGCCAATGTATATATACGCGTCTCCGTGTGCACTGACACGTGGATTTGGGCGGAGATCTCATCGACCGACCGGCTTTCGCGACGCCGAAAGTGGCCGGTGCATGCTTCTGTTTAAGTGAGATTAGGAGCAAAGGAATCGGCATGATATGTTGGCTGCCGACGTGCCGTGCCTGAGCTACGATGCAACCAGATTGCTTGCTGGCTTCACAAAAAGTAGCTTGTTTTTATTCGAACGAGAAGTTAACAATATATTCCTTTCTTTTGGGTTAGTTGGTGAGTTAGGACTGCTCTGTTTGGTTGTATAATGCTTTTCTTCATTCGTGTTCCTGCGCATGTGATGTGAAGAAAAAAAGGGCTCACTAGCTTATAAAGAAATGCAGCTAGTATTAGCTCCGACTTGCGTAGCAAACAGCCTCAGGCAACTAACTAACATCGTGCAAATAAGCTGATTGCAAATATATTACTAATTATAAAGTATACTTACACTGGGTTGAATATGTGGTAGATTCTAGATGCAGCCAAGTAGGTCAACACCGCCTTCCACTTTGAGAAATGGCACCTACTCAACACAAAGAAGGGAATCAGTGATACTACTTAATTAGCAGATCGAATTAATTGATGCTGATCAGGATTTCAGGTAGATCACCTGCCGATTGCGAGAGAAGGGGAACATGATGACACGAAAGGGAGAATTTTCCAAGTAGCTGGCGGTTGTTGCACTACTCAATTCTGGAGTAGGCGTCCAATTTTTATATCGACTTAAGTGGCGATCGAGCGAGGCTGAGAGCACAGAGAAGATCAAAAGTGCCACACACACCGCAGCTAGTAGGGCAAGTTTAATAGTACAGTCAGCTGCTAGGTTCAAATCATCTATAGTTACTTAATAGCCAATTTATACAATAGTTACATATAAATATATACTACACTTTTAATATCTGGTCCCACGTATCATATATACATTGCGTTTTAGAGTCCGTGTTGCAGCTGGCTACAAATCTATAGCACGCCGCTTTTCTCTCTCTTCTTTTATCTTTTTAAAATGTGTTTATAAGTTAGTATAACTGACTTAGAGCAAGTTCAATAGTATAGCCAACTACTAACTCCAATTCATTTATAGCTAATCTAATAGTTCATTAATACAATAGTTACATACTACACTATTAATACATAATCCCACCTGTCATAGATACACTGCGTCTTGGAGTCCGTGCTACAGCTAGCTATAAATCTGTAGCCCGTTGCTTTTCTCTCTCTTGATTTATCTACTTAAAATAAGTTTAAGTAGATAAATCAAGAGAATGGTATTATAGAATGGTATTGTACCTGATCGTAGAGCACTGCAGTAGTCCAGTCCAGCCTGGTTTGTGACTTTGTGTAGGTCAGAGGTTTGGACGATCATCGCTGCCTCGATTGGCGTGCATGCGCCGCCGCTGATTCTTCTGTTCAGCGCGCGATGATGAAGACGAGATCGACGAGTCCGGCCGGCCCACGCAAAAAAGCAGGTGCTACGAGCAGTAGATAGCGGCAAAAGGGCGTGTTTTTATGGAGGTTTTTTGGTGCGCTGGTGGTGTGCACACGCGTGCTACGGTGCTAGCGCTTCGATCACCGGTCAGCTGCTCGGTTCGGTTCGGGGCGTAGTGCGCCGCGGCCGTGTCCGGCGAGATCGCTTTCGTTGCGTTGCGTTGCGCGTCAGCTTTGCGTGCGCTCGCGCGTCGCGGTATTGGAACCGGGAATATCAGAGGCGGACCACGTGATGGCTGATGCGCGGCCGCGTCGGATTTTCTCAGGGCCCTTAAATGGCGTGGCGACTGCTTACAGACTTCCAGGTTGTTTACCACTGTTTTGTCAAACTTGGGTTTCTGAAAGTCTGGTTCCTTTGGACTCCAGTGCAGCAACAACGTGAAGGTTAATCAACCAGCCTTAGTTTAATTCAGTAGTATTTCGGTGTGACTCTGCAAGGGCAAAACATGGGCTGATGGAAACAGTAGTGACTCTACAGTGTGACTCCACTATTTTGAGTCCTATATCTCGACAAGCCGTGAGAGATTACATGATTCAAAAAGCTTGTTCTCTTTGTTCGTAAAAGATGGATTACACTTACACATGGGGAAAAATCAAAACCAAAAGGAAGTATATATAATACCAGCCGAACGAAACGATGATGAAGCAGAAGAGCTTTTCTACTTCTTTTTCCCAGCTTTACCCTCCTTTCTTCTGACAACCTCATCGGCGTATCGGATTCCCTTCCCCTTGTACGGCTCAGGTGGCCTCCACTTCTTTATGGAGGCAGCAAACTGGCCAATCTCACTCTTGTCGTAGCCACTCACGATGATCCTGGTGTTCTCTTCCACCTTAACCTTCAGGCCTTCAGGAACAGCCATCCGAACAGGATGCGAGAATCCCAAATTCATCACGAGATCTTTGCCTTCTACAGCTGCACGGTACCCGACCCCAACTAACTGAAGCTTCTTGTCAAACCCTTTTGATACCCCTACGATGATGTTGTCCGTCAGGGTCCTGCATTGAATAGTTGCAACCCTTTGTTTTTAGAGGGATAAATAGTAAAGATGAAGGCTTGACAAGATCATTCAGCTGACCACGCTATGATTAGTAAGCAAAAGCAAAACATTCTTCTGTAGAAGGTTCTTCAGCATAAGGAAAAGACAAACTAGATTCTATCATGCATTCATGCTAGTGAGAGGAATTGGAATAGGGTTGGCAGTTGGCACACAGGCCTGGAGGTTTTGAGAGTAACTGAGTAAGCTTGTCAACAGTGAACAGAAAATATTTGGTGGCGCATCACACCTTTCATGAATCCTTGATCCTGCATCACCTGTACTGACTACTGAGTGCTCCTTGAAATCAAGGTGGGTGCTTGTCCCAATTTAGTACATATGATATCTTGCTATTTTTTATTTTTTAAATAAATGGAGGAATTTGTCAGTAACTCTGGATGATGTTTGGAATTCAAGAACAGATTTACAGATCTTGTTTCTTGAATCCACGAAAGGAGCAATAGCACAACATATGCCATATTTCCTTGGTATGGATATAGAACACCGAGAAATACAAGAATAAATATACCGTCATACTGATGAAACTTTTCAGATTTTGTCAGATGCACTACTAGAATTGTTTTTAAGGTTTACTCCCCTCGAGGTAGATTATTATGTTCCATGTAACTTGAAAGTGTAATGCTTAGTTCCTGTCTTCCTGATCTCCTGAACAAAGCAAGGTTATCGCCAATATTGATTGTTAAAAAGAAAGTGGCTAGAGAAAAAGATTTCAGGAAGTTGGATATTGTTATCTAGAATCTTCATTCTAGTATAGGTTACTAGGAGTATAGGGCTGTGTCTTTCTATGCCCACATTGCAAATAGTATGTTGTGGTACAAGCTATTTTAAGGCAATGATGGCATGATTATAAAATTACCATTCCTCGTGACTGCAAGGAGTAGTACTTACAGAGTAATAGCGTTCGCAAAAGAGAAGCAACAAGTATATAAGTGACTTATGACGGAAAGTGGGGGATTAAGTCAGTAAATAAATTTCGTAATACCAGGGAATCTTATGGAAAACAAACAATAAAATAGTGAAACACTGACATATAATGATAAGTGAACCAGAGACAAACGAAATAGAAAATACTTATCTTACCTGAAAAGTCCATGCATCTGGTTTGCCCTTTTGGTTTCCACTGTTTTGGAGACTCTCAGCTTACCAGATTCTTCTTTCACCACTTTTACTTCACCTGGATAGTTTAGTGATAACTCTCCCAATGGACCCTTAGCTTTTATAAATTGCTCCTCTAATGTAAGAGTAACATTTGATGGAACTTCTATCGGTTTCTTTCCAATTCTAGATTCCTTGCACTCAATTGTTTTTCTGACAAAACCAACTCTGCCAGCAGGGATAACATGAAGACAAATCCCTTGTCTCTTTCCAAGGAAGCCTGTTCTTGAATTGCTGATTCATATCAAAGAAAAATCCATCAAAACTCTCATATAACATTGGTAAAAAAAACTCCCATATAATACCCAAAGGAAAAAACCATTACATTAAAAATGCATTAATTTAGTTTTATACAGTAAGCGAAAAAAATATGAAAAGAATAGCATAACCAACACAAAACAGTTTACAAAGGCCAGCCGGCGAAACTGCATAATAGTAAACTTGGATTATAACATGCCATGCTCACCTTGAACATTTCAGGCAACATATCAACCATGTAGTTCGGAGCCGCTTTACTCTTAGTAATAACAAGGTAAAATCATCAGAAAAACTAAGTTTTTACAAAGGCATATAAAATTCTGCCTGAAATTAGGATAACATGTCATGATGGATCAATGTACTAATTCACTCAAAACTGTTGCCAAGTTAGATCTTTAGATCTGATTTTTCACACAATTTAGAGGTATGGTTCCCCATAAAAAAAAAGAGGTATCGATATTTTTATCATGGCCATTATTTTGTTCACAAAGGCAATCATAATTAACAAGATCAACTTCATGATTCATTATTACCATCATGTTATGTGAATTTATAAGGTTCCAGATATGAAATAATAAACACATTAGCAACCTATTGGAAGTAAATTATCAAATACGGTAGCTTCTTCTTTTCCTTTTTTTTTTTTGCCGAGGTGGCCAAAGGAATAGGCCGTCCCAATTTTATTAGGATGAGAGATGGTGTTACAAATTTTACAAGATCGACATTAAACTGTTGAGGCTGGGCCGAGACCCAAGAGCAGAGGGGAGGGGAGAACAACTTTTTTTTTTTGACATGAGGGGAGAACAACTTAGAAAAAGAAACCGCCTTATGGCAGGCACTCAGCCGACTTCTCTAAAGATGCTGGCTTCCCTCCAAATCAGGATCTCTTCTCTAATATCTCTGTAAAATATGGTAGCACTGCATTCAAGGTATTGGTGTATTGTGCTAACTGATTGGACAACTATCCATGCTTCCCTGGAACTTAGCATTCCTGTAAGATAGGGCACCACACACACCCACACACACACACAAAAAAAAAAAAAAATGATCCCTTCATCGACAGAACAATCCCGGTTGCAAAATGAGCAAGTCCCCTGAGTTATGTGCCTAGCAAATTACTAACCTTTCTGCACAGAATCAAGAATGCTGGGTACCATTACCACCTGCCCTTTTCTTGGGAGAGGCTATAAAGACTAACTTCTTGGAACCACAAGAATGCAGAAACCCAACCAAATCGCTGCCGCCACAAAAGCAATTCCATCCTTATGAACAATGCAGCCCTAGCAATTCAGTCCACGGGAAAGGGAAAATGCAAGCTGCAAGGACTGTGCTTTCCAGATGGCCGGGTATCAACAGGAGGAGGAGGAGGAGGAGGAGGAGGAGGAGGAAACATACCACGGGTGGTGGAGGGAAAGGGAGAGGGACGCCATGGACGCCTCGCCGTCGCAGGAGGAGCCGCCCCCGCTCGATCGCTGGCTCGCTTGTGCCTGTGCCGTTTTCTTATCTTGCGTTATCCTGTCCACCGAGGAAGCTAGACGAAGCCCAATAAGGAACGGGCTGGATCCGTCAAGGCGTCGACGATGGCCGGGCCTACAAAAAAAGCCCGCGTACAAACTGTGCATTTCTCTGGGCCCTGACAAAATTTTGTATTTTTAAACAGAAATTTTGGAACCACCTATACATTTGTTGACAAATTTTCTTCTAAAAATTTGACAGATATAATTATAGTACAATTATAGTGTAATTACACTGTAACTTGTATGTAATTACACTGTAACTTGTATGTAATTACACTGTAACTTGCATGTAACTACAGTGTAATTTGTATATAAGTTTCACGTAATTTTGAATCGTTAGATCTATTAAAAAATTTGTTCTAGTGAGGAAGAAAAAAATCACATCACACACATATGTGAAAGAATTTGTTATGGAGAGATTTTTGAAAGTTACATACATGTTACATTATAATTACAGTGTAATTACACTACGATTGTACTGTAATTACATCTGTCAAATTTTTGGTGAAAAATTTGTTGACAAATATATAGCAAATTTGAGAAATTTTATATTTTACCACTAATAACAATCAACGTCGTTCTATGAATTGTTGCAGAGAGTGCGAGTTCTAAGCAAGCATTTTTCTTCCGTTTTTACTATTGTCGTTAGTCTCACCTCTAACACCTTAAAAACACTATTTTGTTGACACCCCTATTTCATATTACAGGTGGGTCACTAAACCATCTGTAAAAAATGATTGTTCACAAACGATATCCTAAGGGAAATCATTTGCGAAAATTAGTATTAAAAGAGGTGGTTACTACTTGTGAAAAATATCATCGTGTGATCAATTAGCTAAGTAACAAAATAAATTTGCATCTCCCCCTCCTCTCACTCCATCAACCGCCCGAACTGCGGATCCAACAGAGGCAGGTTATGGAAGCAGCGGAACATGGAGGCAGCATGCCTCATGAGCTATGGATCCAGCATCGGTGGGCCTTGAGACAGTAGCGGACCTGATCACCTGACACCGGCAGTCCTAAGGAAGAACTACATGCGCTTGAACTCGCCGAGGAGGTCGTTCGAGGATGAGAACAGGGGGTGGATACAGCGTAGGGGCGGCGGGGTCTCGAGCCCTCACTACTAACGGTGAAGACTATGAGAGCCCTCGTGAAGACTCTACTAAAATTTTTTACCATATGTAGATGGGAAGAGTACTATAACTCTATTTAGTTTGCTTAGACCCCACTGCTATTTCTTTCTGGATCCGTCACTAGATGAGACCACTGCTTGGCGACGGCAACGGCTACATCCGTCGATGTCGATGGGGTGACTGTATATGCCACCTCCCTTTCCCAAAGCATCAAGATACTGTTCATGTTATTACTGTAGTATTTGATCTGAACCGTTGATCATCTAAACGGATGGTAAAAATTTTGTGCAGTTGCAAGTATAGCTGTACCTGATCTCAATAAAAGGGGGTGTTTAAATCCAGGGTGCAAAGTTTTAGCGTGTCGCATGGGGTATTATATAGGCTGTCGTATGGGGTTCAGACACTAATTAAAAAAACTAATTACAGAATCCACTAGTAAACCGTGAGACAAATTTATTAAACCTAATTAATCCGTCATTAGCAAATGTTTACTGTAGCACCACATTATCAAATCATGGAGCAATTAGGTTTAAAAGATTTGTCTCACAAATTAGTCGCAATCTGTGCAATTAGTTTTTTTTTAAGTCTATATTTAACACTTTATATATCTGTCCAAACGTTCGATATGACAGGGTGAAAAATTTTAGAGTAGGATCTAAAAAGGGTCAAAGATTATGTATGAGATCCGTCACGCGTTGACGCATTGGTGCTATACAATGTGCAATCGATGCCGTCACGACGCCCCACTACATGCATGATGGGCCACAGACTAGCACAGACACGGTAGCGCATGATGCAGAGAAAACATTGGTAGCTCCACGCCTCCACGTACACATTTCCTTCCACGTAGTAGTTACAGTCCATTCCATATTTGGTATATATAGCCTACTAGACTCTCGTGCCTGTCTTCTACGGCAGCGAGGTTGAACGTACAGTAAGTTGGTCACACCCGTGACCGGGGCCGTGTCAGTAAAACTCGGCGCTTGCGCGGTCGTTGGCTCGGCAACCCGGCACACGGCGACACCAGGCACCATCCACTCATCTCCGCAGCGAATCGGAGAGGCCGGCTGCACCTGCAACGGGCGGTGGGCAGGTGGTGCCCCGGTCGGGGATGCGACGACGGCGACGCGAGCGAATGCCAGCCAATGTACGTTTTTGGCTGGCTCCCGCGCCTCGCCGCGGAGGAGAAAAATGTTCGAGAAAAAATAGTGGGGAGGGGAGCCAACCGCGCGTGCGTGCGACGGATGGATCATGGATGGATGACTGGCTGGTTGGGCCAGATTTTGACTAGTCCACGGAACACGAGCGATGCAACAGCAGCAGAGGGGGACCTGCGCTGCGATGCAAAAGCGACGCGGGGGGGGGGGGGGGGGGGGGGGGGGGGGGGGGGGGGGGGGGGGGGGGGGGCAGCACGGCGGAAAAGGCAGAAAAGCGCGCGCGACTCGCCGGGGGTCAATGCTCGCTGTCACTCTCTCCTCTCCTGCGTGCTACAGGATACGATACGATGAGCCAGCACCACCCACCCCGGCCCAACACGTACGTGGCGCAAAAGGCCCCAGACCCCCCAGAGGCCTAGATTCTCTCTTGCTTTGCTGCACGTTCCTGTTCATGCGTCCATCGAGAGTTTTTTGTCTCTGCCAACGCCTTTTCTCGTTGGTCCACTGCTACGTCTACCCTCCACAGTTCATGTGTGATGTGTCCACTGTCCACAGAGGAGCACTCGATGAAGCAAAAGTGCAGCATATGCGCGCTAAAAAATTAGCCTCATGATTTCCCCACTAATCGCGCTCGCTCGCCGTGCAGCCCGCGTGGACGCGGCCACGGCGGTGACGAGGTGGCGCGCGCGGGGCCCGTGCGGCAGCGTGCGCGGGCATGTGGCGGCGGCGGGCGCGCCTCGCGATCCCCACGTGCCTCCCCGCACCGGGGAGCCGGGCCATTGCGAGGCGTGGTTAGTGTGCGACAACCACCGTTATCCATCGAAAGCTATCGCTACTCTACTCCACTTTCGCGTTGCTAAATTAATACGCCCAAACGAGTGGCTTGCATGTAACGAACGTGATCGTGGAGGCCACTGTGATTTACAGTCTTGCTTACAGAGCAAGCAGTGGCTACTAACAACTGGGACAATCACTGGTGGAGAAATCATCTTTCATCGGTAGGCCGAATTCCACAATAGTCCCGGATGCAATAAAAACCGGGGCTAAAGATGATCTTTAGTCCCGGTTCAAAAAGGTAACGGGCATATTTGATCTTTAGTCCCGGTTGGTAACATCTTTAGTCCCGGTTCAAATGCTGTCAGGGCCTATCAGGCCCCTCGGGATCTTTAGTCCCGGTTAGTAACACCAACCAGGACTAAAGATCGTAACTTTTAGTCCCAGTTGGTAAGATCCCGGATCTTTAGCCCCGGTTGGTAACACCAATCGGGACTAAAGTCCCACCCCTATATATATGTCTTCTTCCTCCTCCAGCTGCCCGAGCAAGCTTCAAAATTTCTTCAAAAAAGAGGTGAGGTCATGCCAAAATTTCTAGTGAATTTATTTTGGTGATTACATACAAATCGGAGGTGCCTAAAAGGTTTGCAACTTCATCCTCCAATGTTTTTTTTTGTCATATTACATTTGCAGCTATGTTTTGCACACTTTTTTGTCTCCAAAATTTAATTGTAAGTTGATGAGAAAAAAAATTTGTGTGGGGAAGAAAGAATATATAGAAATTTAGTTGATTTGCTAAAGAAGGTTTTATAAAATAGTTGAGAAGGAAAATTATAGTGAAAGTTAATCTTGAATACTAGAAAACAAACTAAAATGAAAATTAAAAGAAGTAAAACACATTAAAATTAGTTTAAAACTTTAGAAATAGTAAATAAGAATTATTTGGTGTAATATTTTATGATTTTTGTATGAATAAAGATATGTCATTATTGTATGACTGTTGAAACAGTTTGTAATTATCTTATAATTATTGTATGACTGTCATTATTGTAAGAATAATTATTTGCGTACGATTTTTTTTCGACTCATGTAGATGGATCGGCAATGGATGTACGCTGACCGGCGGTCCAAAGAGTTTATTGACGGCGTGCACTATTTTTTGAGAGTGGCCGAAACTAACAGGCAAAGGGGTTTTATTTATTGTCCATGCAATAAGTGTAAGAATCAGAAGAAGTATTCTGCATCCAGGACTATTCATTTCCACTTGTTTGAGTCGGGGTTCATGCCAAGCTATAATTGTTGGACATCCCACGGAGAGCAAGGTGTTGAAATGGAAGAAGATGAAGTGGAAGACGACAATATTCCGGACTTTGCTCAGTACGTTGGATTTGAAGGAAATCAAACGGGCGAGGATGAAAGGGATGCTGATGGTAACGACGTTGCGGATAATCTTGGTCAGATGTTGCAGGACGCCAAGGAGGATTGCGAAAGTGAAAAGGGGGCCCATAAATTGGACAAGATGTTAGAAGACCATAGAACTTCGTTGTACCCAGGTTGCGAGCAGGGGCACAAAAAGTTGGATACCACTCTGGAGTTCTTGCAATGGAAGGCAAAAAATGGGGTTAGTGACAAGGCATTTGGCGATTTATTGAAACTCGTCAAGAACATTCTTCCGGAGGGAAACAAATTGCCCGAGACAACATACGAGGCTAAGAAGATAGTCTGCCCGCTAGGACTGGAAGTTCAGAAGATTCACGCATGTCCGAATGATTGTATCCTATATCGCGGTGAGGAGTATGAGAACCTAGAAGCATGCCCTGTTTGCAAAGCACTACGATACAAGATTAGACAAGACGATTCAGGAGAAGTTGACGGGCAGCTAACAAAGAAGAGAATTCCTGCTAAGGTGATGTGATATTTCCCTATAATACCACGGCT